GACCTCTGACCCTGAAGGAGAACATTTGACCGCTGCTGGGACGATTGTTGATTCATAAAAGTATATTTAACATGTCTTTGTATGGAGTGAATTTTGTTTCATTAATGTTGACAAATTCCTAATTAAATTTTATTTTACTGTTTTCTCAGATTGTGTTTAAGTTTCTAATTTCTTTTATATTTTAATTTCTAATCATATTTTATGAAACTTAATATTTTATTTTTCTAAGCAGATTTTATAATTTCAAATAAAAAAAAAGTCTTATTTCAGATTGAGTTTTACAAAATGCGCTCTTTTCAAATTGCGTTTTCCAGCTCACATTTTCTTCACATCAAGCGAATCCAAACGCTGAATCTTGACCAATAAAAATGCTCCTTCACTCCTTGTGAGAGAAAGCCCACCCCCGGAAATGAAGACAATGTCATCTGTAGAGTGAAATACGTAAACCTTATCCCTTTAAACAGAAATTTGGAAAAAAAAGGTATGTATATTTAAAATTTATAAAACTAATTTGAAAAAAAAAATGTCAAAAAAAATATAGAAGAAAGTAAAATCTGAGAAAACAGCAACCTGTTTTTGATTAAGATTAATTAATAAATTTTTTATTTCAGTTGATAGTGGAACAGAATTGACTCCATATGCCAGCAGCTTGTCTGACGGAGCCTAAAAAGACGCCTTACAGCAGCTGCAGATGATCCTGCCGTCGGATTAGAGCGTTCTTCTTGTTCACCAGGGTGAACCATTCTTGAATCAGCTTCTCTTCTTCCACTTTATCACTTCCTGCAGAAACAAAAGGATGAACGTTTCGTTACGGATCTTTTCAGAATAAACCGGTTCCCTGATTCCACAGATGGTCCATAACTTAGATGCTGCTCTCCTGTTGAACCAACCACCAGTTTTAGTGAGTGAGGCAGACATCCTGTCCGCCCGGCCAGCAATGACTGGATGACTGGCCGCATGAGGAGCTCCTCTCAGGAGCAGCGATTCGCCTGAGGGGAGCAGTTTTAACTGATGCTTCATAACGCTGCCGTGCGTTCTGCATAAGTTAGCCTGACGTTGGACAGAAGTTCTGGACTCGAGTTTGTCTATGTTTACGCCCAGAATAGAAAAAAATGCATAGAAAGTTCAGG